TTTATTATCATTTGAATTGGATTTACAAGGAAATGAACCAGTAGGGTATAGACCAAGCTACTGTTTCCTCTCATAAGCTTTGTAGAAAAAAAAAGAGATGTGATGGAAAAACAGAAGCTAAAGGTTTAAATGAGGGTGGGAAAAAGATGATGAACAGATTACATTAAACCTTGCAGCACATTACCAGCATAGTTCAGGCGTTTCGTGTACAGAAGTCAAGCTACGAGAACTTGAGGTAACACACTGTGACTACTGCTTTCAGAAGACTGCCTCTGCGCTTACTGCGTTGGTGTGCTTTTGGCAATGCGGTTGGGGCACCAGTTACCTGCATCTTGGAATCTTGGTGTATTCTAGAGGGCCTTGAAAGGGTGCAAGGATATTTTGGTTCCCAATCCTTTAGGAGTCAGTGACTAAAAATTGTTTTGTTCTTATTTAGTTGGTATAAAGCATTTTATGTATAAAGCATTTTTCTATTTCCAATATTAAACAGCTAAGAGACATGTCAGTTTTAGTGAAAGTAGAATAAAAAGCCCTGGACCATAGAAGGGGGAGTTAATTTATTAAACTCCATTTTTGAAGGGGTAAATTCATTTTATTTTGTAAAAATTTTCTCAAATCTTATTCATTTGGTACAGAGTCTAGTTACACAGCTCAGACTCATGGCGATCCTGTCTCAGCCTCCCCAGGACTACAGGCACGTACCACCATGCCCGGTTTCAGCCAGGGCTCAGTACACCCAGGACGGGCCAGCATGGCATACAGTACCAGGGATAGAACCCGGTCCTTGTGCTTGCCAGGCAACTGCTTAGACCACAGACCTATCTCCCCAGCCCTGGTAAATTCATTTTAAGTATCACGAACTCCCTTGCCATCTGGGACTTGGTATTTACATTTTGTACATAAATGCAAATTAAAACTATTTTCTTTTAAATAGGCCTGTGGGGAGAATTTGGTTCATAGGTCACAAACTCATGACTTTCAAAATTTTTAATTTTTGAGATCTAATAATCCACATTATAAAATGTATTTTAATGTATGTGTCCATGGTTTTTAGTATACTCACAAAATTGTATAACCACATTTAATTTCAAAACGTTTTCATTACCTCGGGGAGAAATTGTACATGCATTTAAAGCTACTTCGTATTTCCTCTTCCTCTGGCCTCAGGCAATCACTGCACAGCTATTTCTATCGATGTCTGTTCTGGACATTTCACACACTATGTAGCATACAACACATGGTATTTAATGGCATAAATGCGATATTTTGGGACTAGTTTCTTTAACTTTGCATATTCCCAAGATTCATTCATGTTGTAGCATGCATCAGTACTCATTTTTTTTTAGCTGAGTCCTATTCTATTATAGAAGTATAAAATGTACTCATTAATGGGTATCTGGGTGATTTTCTCTAATGCTATGAATATTTATGTACAATGGCTTCTCAATTTAAGTTGCAACAATTTCAAACTAGTTTTGTAAATAGCTGATGCATTATGATGGTTCAGCAGTATCCATAGCGACATTTCAGAGGGAGCGAGTATACATATTTCCAGCCACCTCCCAAATGCCCAATTAGCACTTCATTGTGTCCCCGTAGATAGGTACTATTATCAGCTTATGTTTTTGCTGTATAGGCAAACATTCTATAGGACATTTTTCTTCATAACATCCCTCTTTATGTGGTGCTCAGGATAGAAACCAGGGACTCACGTATCCTAAGGAAGCAAGCGCTCTGTAGCCTAAGCCCTTTTTATTTGGAGAGAAGGTTCTCGCTAAGTTTCCCAGGGTGGCTTCAAACTCAAGGTTCTCCTGCTTGGGCCTCCTGGGTGGCTGAGATGAAGAGTCACTCATAGAACACAGAACTTCTCTCTTCTTCATATAAAAGATATTTTCCTCTTTCCCTCCTCTTCCCTCCACCCCCATGTTGGCAAGGATCAAATCTAGGGCCTCTTGCCTGTCAGGCAAGCATCAGCTGACACAGGCTACATCCATCTCCAGCTTTCTCTTTTTAAAACAAACGTAACATACTTATGCACTGCTCCGCTCTTTGAGTTGCCACTTATCTTGCCAAAGGCTTCCTTTAGTTTTTAGACTGTCCTCATTCTCTCCCAAAGCTATAAATTTTCTATTGCGTGGTTGGAGTATAGATTATCTGTTAATTTTCCCTTTGATGAGTGTTTTGCTGATTTAAATATTTGCTATTTATAAAATTTACTTGTAAGGGGCTGGGGAGATGGCTCAGTGGAATAAGTGCTTCCCTGGCAAGGACAAGGGCCCGAGTTCAATCTCCGGTTCCGCCAAAAAATAAAAAATAAAATTTACTTGTAGTCATAAAATATGAAGCATCCATTGAGAGAAATACTATCAGATTTAATAAGAATAAAAGCTACTTAATACTCATCAGGGAAACCCAAAAAAGCCTAGAGCAACTACACTTTAAAATGTTACCATAGGGCCAAAGAGATAGCTTGGCGGTTTAAGTGCCTGCTTGGCAAGTGTAAGGACCCAGGTTCAATCCCTGGTACCGCATGATGTGCCGGCCCTGCGCTGAGCTGGCCACAGAAACTGGGGATGGTGGCACACGCCTGGAATCCCAGCTCTGGGGAGGCCAAGATGGGAGAATCACTAAGAGTCCAAGCTGCATACTGAAACCCTGTACCAAATAAATAAATCTTTTTTAAAAAGAAAATTAAAATGTTGGCATTGCCTCAACTATTATGTTGTCAGTTGGAACTAGTTATCTGAAACAGGAAAAAAACTGTTAATTAAAAGTAGTAGCCTAACTGAGTGTCATGTTTTTAACCTAACTTCAGCTTCTCAGAATAATTATTTTTATACTCAAATTTCATTGATTTTGGTTAAAGATGATAATAGGGAATTCTCAGGAAAAACCTGTGAGGTTTTTGTCTGTGGTATTTAGCACAGCTTATACTTAATTATAAGGACAGGCTTAAGATATGTGCCTACAAAATATACAGGTGCCGACCAGAGAGCTTAGCAGACCAAAGCGCCTGCTTAGGCAGAGCTCAGCAGCTGGGGTTCGATCCCTGGCATGCTGTGTCGGCCCTGCACCCGGGGCACACTGAGGTGATTGATACTAGGCCTGGTGGCACACCCCTATGATCCCAGCACATGGGAGGCTGACAACAGGATTACTATGAGTCTGATCTGTGTAGCGAGACTTTGTAGAACGTGTACTAAACATAAATAACACAGCAATCAAACTGATTCCTCAGTTTCCTAATTGTTTATGTGAACTTATAATTGTTAAGTTGCAAGAACAAGGAACCAAGTAAGCTTTAATATTTAAATATTAGTTAAAAATCAGCTATTTAAAAATTGCCATTAAAATAATTTGTGTATGTATTTACTACTAGGTAAGCACAATGGGGGAAAGAGAACCTAGCCTACTGTCGGTGTCTTTAGTTTCTGGGCCATGAAAAAGTTTGGTGATTTCTCCAAAGTAGAGGTCATCTTTCATTCCCACATCATATAATACATTCATAAATCATCCAAAGAATTGGGATTTGGGCACATCAAAAGAAATATACTGGGCTGGGGAGATAGGTGCTTAAGTGCCTGCCTGCCAAGCAGAAAGTCCCGAGTTTGATCCCCAGTACCAGAAAAAAAAGAAAGAAAGAAAGAAAGAAAGAAAGAAAGAAAGAAAGAAAGAAAGAAAGAAAGAAAAGCATACTAAAAAGAAACCCCTAAGATACTTTTACAGAAATAAAGCAAAGATGTACGATTTTACTGATTAGTTCGACAACAAGAGAATGAGGTGTCGACTAGCAGGTCAAGGGAACAGCGGTGCTGTAGACTCCACTGACTAACCCGGATAGAGAGAAGCTGCAGCATAGAAAGAAACCATGGTCAGCCAGGAGAGACCACTGATGATGGCAGTTGACTTAGCCAAAGTAATTTCTGGAAACACAGACAGAACAGTTTAGACTGTTCTAGTACAATGATTTAAGCGCTCATTATTCCACAAATGATTTCGTTAGCTGTTTGTTAGCAGTTTAGAGTGTGTCCGATGAAGTGCTAACAACTGTTTTGTGTTTACTGAAACATCTTTCTAATTTAACTTGATCTAAGTTCTAGACTGCAAAAGAAAAACACAAACGAGGGGTCAATTTGTTTTAAGTTTGTCATTAAATATTAATATATACAATTTCAAACATTTATAGATCTTATGATTTATAGAAAACTAATGTAATCTTAAAATTATTTGAATAGTAATTTGCACAATTATTTACAATTAACTCAGCCTACCTAGGTAAAAACATAACTACATTAAAAGTACCCCTGCCACAAAGTGGTAACTTCACAGTACCTTTCTATATTTGTCGTGAAAGTGGTAGTTATATCAATAAAGACAGCAGATTCAATAATTTAGAAACAGTATTTAGAGCAGTAAATAGAAGCAAGCTATCATTAATTCCAAGCAAAATAAAACCTTTCATATTAACATATTTTCTCATTCAGCACTGACAGAAGAAAACAGCATTATTTTCTTATTTACTACAAAACAAATTAATTTTAAGACATTAAGATACTGATGTTAACAAATTAGGGGAATCTGTATATACTACTAAGTATTTTGAGAAATTCTTAATATTGCCCAAAGACATTTCCAATAGTAAATCTTTTTTCAGTTGTAAAGTGACATTAAACAGAAATAATTAACTTAGCCCCTACAGAAATTACAATTTTTCATTAACAGCTGATAACATTTAGATCCAATGAGATTCTTGGCTTCAACCCTAAATTTTTCTCTATTTAGGCTATAAATATTTTTGATATTTCCTCAATGCCTCAAAAGAATCCCAAATATGTAAAAACTGAACGCCAAAGAAAAATATTTTTATTTGTATTAATACTTATGTTTGATAACAGTATTTACTGGAGTATTTTACATTTTTTTCTTCTTTTTCAAGCATATATTCAACCAGACAGTTAAATAAAAAGAAAATATAAGAAATATAGTTGAAGTTGTAGTAAAGTACATTTTCTTTTATTGAAATAGAACATATAGTACTTAAATTTTATGTGTTGGCTCGTTAGGAAAAAAAATTCTCCCTGTAAGTAATATGCATAACCACTGCCCCAAAAAGTATACAGCTGTTTTCCTGCAAATATTTACATACATAGTAGTCTGCTTAAGATCAGCCCTGTTATAAACCTACTGAATACAATGTGCTCTTAATTTATAAATGGGCTGCTCTGTATATAAAATACATAGGCATGTATGTTATATATATAAAGTAAAAAATATAAACAAGAGATGGAAAAAGAAAAAAGTGTTCTTCCCTATAAGATCCAGACAAAGGTCATTATAATTAGGGAGACAATGTAAAATGCCTGAAGAATTGCAGTTTTGGCAAATATTTTATCAGAAAAATATCAAGCTATGAGAGTACTAAACAGTCGTCTTAATAATTTAGTAGAAGTTTCCACTGTAATATTTGGTAAGATGTTGTGACCTTATAGGATATACAAAAGAAGACTTTGGGGGTTTGGTCAAAAACAAAACATGCCTTGTTTTTAGCAGATTTGTAGTAACTCCTTAATCTGATATGTGTAGTGCTGAGAGTCAGATCCAGGTTTATTAGCACCTGAACACATTTGAGGGAAGATTTCAACGGATGGAATATGAAGCCTTCCTAGGCCTTAGAGGAAATGGGGCAGGGTGCTACGACAACAGAGGGCATCAGCCCCAAAGGTGGCCAGCCTGATGGTAAGTGGCAATGTTAGAAAACAAAACAAATGTCTCTGTAGCAATCTTTCTGCTGCATTTTCTTTACTTCAAGCCACAGTTCTAATGGGAGGATCATGCAGCAAGTGGCTTATACGTAAAATCAGAGTCTATGAATAGTATTGTCACATTAAGAGATAGAATTGCTGGAGTCTCTCTTTATGGATAAAGCGCACATCTTGGGAATCCATGAGTTGGTATTATTTATGGGATACCTAAAATAAATGGGGGACACAAACCATGTAAGTCAGTAAGACATACATACAATTCAGGAGTCAAAGCAGTAAAGATTATTCATTTTTGAGCTATAAATTTCATATGATTTCTTAACAATTATTTCCCAGTTATAATGCAACAAATTGAACTGGGGCCAATTTCAAAATTAACAAATACTATCATTGTTGCTGTTTACCAGTGCATACAATTCCCACTCTTTCTCAGAATGTTAACCAAGAAAGAACCTACAGTGACCATAAGCCACTGAGAAACCCATCATTTGGATACCTTTGTGTCCTTTAGTTTAGAGAGATGTTCTATGTCTCACTTTTCACAGAAACCATCCCTTTTCATGCTGTCATGGTATCCAAAACAAACAATGACAACCATAAAAATCAATGAGAACTTTCAGCTGCGATATGGTTTCTTTTCCTCCTTTTCCAGATCATTATTATGCGGCCTAAAGCACTCAGGATTTTAAAGCAACCTAAATATTCTTTTATAAATTTCAATTGCTGTTCATATGGGGACATGTAAAGTCTTCCACCAAACATTCTAGATTATCATAGAGAAATCTGCTAATTTCATATAGCTTTATATGCTGAAACCCTTCTAAAGGTACTGTTAGAACAGAAGCATATGATCTGGGAAATGTTATCCTGTATATACTTCGGTATGAAGAATATCAAACACAGTAATATAATCTAGTCTTAAATTCTCATTCAAGTAACTCAAACTTGCTCATTAATTAAAAGATAGTGTTCTGCAAATTTAGTTTTCCATTCATCTTTATATATAGCACTATACTGATACCAAGCTACATGCTTGTTATTATTTTTATAATTTGACATTCTCTCCACATTAATAGTTTAAATTTTACCACTTAAACTGGATTTGGTGAAGCATGCCTGTAATCCCAGCACTTGGGAGGCTGAGGCAGGAGGGTCATTATGAATTTGAGGTCAGCCTAGGCTACACAGTGAGTTCAAGGCTAGCTGGAAACACAGCAAGACCCTGTCTCAAAAATACAAAATAAATAAACTAATTAATCTTAAATCTTAAACCCAGGTCATCATCTATGAATTAAGAGATAATTTAACCCTTTTTCTAAAGTATGGAGATTTTAAAGTGTTTCATTTTCATGGAAACACGCATTAAGAAACAAGTCATTTGTATTTTAGCCAGTAATAGGAAGAAAAACTGAACTATCATCAGATTCCAAAATGGTTAAATAAAGGTTATGCATGATATTTCATAACATGTTGAGCCATTTTAATTTTATAAGACTATAGTATTTGATAGAATTTAATGAGCAAAAATAAAAATGCAGTCTTCAACTATAATTCATTGATGTTACAAGTTTTTAAGTGACAACTTTAAAACTAATATATATGTATTGCTCTTTTTTGAGCCAAGGGTCTTGTGTATGCAAAGTAAGTGATCGACTGCTAAGCTTCACCTACAACCTTATTTTATTTTGAGGCAGGATTTCACTAAATTGACCAGGCTTGTCTCAAACTTTCAAACCTCTTATCTCAGTCTCTCAAGTAGCAGGGATTATAGGTGTGAGCCACGGTGCTCAGCCACAAAAGATTCTTTTAACTAAAATAAAATGACTATAAATCTTCCCCAGTGTAAAAGCTCTATAGACAACCTGGGAACACAATCTGGCCAAAACTTTTGCCTTAACTGAAACCTCACAAACTTGCTTAGCAAATTTTCAGAAACACACACAAACACACACACACACACACACACACATACACACACACACAATTTATGCACATTTTAAAGCCAACTTAACTAATGTCATAATTATACTTTAACTTTCATCAGTCACTCTAAAACCTTGTCATTTAAACATTAACATTTGTACTTTCTGCTTTTGGTTACTGCTACAGCTCACAACAGAATATAGTTCTTCCAAGAAATCATTTACTAAACATAGAAAAGTTTAAGCAAAGTCAGTCTTTAATTCTAACTGCTTCAAAAATAATTGATATGTAGAGCAACTAACCTGAGATGTACCTTGCTCCGATTAACATTACCATGCTACTCACTATAAAAAAGCCCAAAGGCAGACTACAGAAGATACTAGGGTCACCTGTGGTCATCCAAGTAGAAGGGAATTCCAGTCAAGCAAATCAAAAGAGAGACACATAATTATAATATTTATGTTAAGAATCACAAGACAGCAAAATAAAAATAAGTTATAAAATAGCATATTCATAAAAGGTAGCAAAGAGTTATTACTTTAAATCAAAAATATAATCAATACCAAAGACTTATGACAGTTAACAATCCACACAGCATGCCACAAGTAGCTGAGGACATAGTACATACAGACCAACATCAGCCATTTTCTGGCAAGGCAGAAGGTAGCCTATGGAGGAGCTTTTTGGGAGGCTGTTGACTGGGGCTTTCTAGATGCTTCCCCCCAAACATACAAAAATGAGCAACGCAAGTCACTCGAAGCTCAAATTATAGGTCCTTTGGATGTTAGGGAAGTCATTATTCTACTAAAAACTTAATTCAAACCCCAGCTTCTGCTAAAGGATTTATTTATTCATATTTGCCAGGTAAAATTTGGTGTTTAAAGAAATGTATCTGGTCATAATAATGTAATGGCAAACACTATTATTGATTATTAATCTAGTTACCTGACCAACAGGATTATTTTGGCATTTTCTAACTTGAATTTTCCAGAAATACAAGCCCTTCTCTTAAAGACTATTCCTTACATATATCCTTTTATTAAATGTAAAAATGATATATCTAGAATATTTAATATTTGGTTGTGTGTGTGTGTGTGTGTTGAAGAATGAACTAAGGCATATGAGCTGTTCCTCCAGCCCTGACAATATTTAATACTCTTTAAAAAGAAGTTTAGTAAAAATAACATATAAGAATTAAGAAACACAAACATTAGACAAAGATTTCACTGAAATACAGCTAAAGAATCTTTGACAAATTTTGTAATACAGTAAAGTGATGGTAGTTATTTCTTTGTTTTTTTAGGGGGTGTGGATTTTTTTCTCCTTCATCAAGAATTTCTTTCCTAATTCTTTATTCCTATTTTTTAAATATATTTTAATTTTTTAAATTTTTTTCATTATATTCTGTAGGGACTTAAAGTTTAACATATCAATACTTAATGAAAAATACCTGTTTCATGTTATACCTAAGATGTTTGATATACAGACAGATAGTGAGGTTAAGCTTAACAGCCTAGGTTATAGGGTAATAACAATAAACTTCTTTTCTGGAGGGTTAACAATCTAAGGTTGCAGACCAAAATTAGAGAAAAAGGAGGGCCACAAGGAAAGCCAACATTTTGGCCCTAGCCTTCCAAGGTCAATTAAGACTCAGGACATATGAGAACTTGCACTGTAACATCATGTAACTCAGTAGTGTCCCAAATGTTCTGATCAAGGAGATTGTGGGGCCAAAGAGGAAAGTGATCGATGATGTAGAGTGTGCCTAAGGAGAGTCACATGGAGAGAAAACATTCTCTCAGGCTTTCACAGATAGCACATTGGCCAAGCAATGGCCGTGACTCATCCACATGGCTGACACTGACAAAGGATGTACAATCTGAGGTACAGGATCTCAGGATAAATCCTGAGGGGATTTCACTGACCTTATCAGACCCAAAAGCTACAATTCTTGCTACATAGGTCCTGCTTTACCTTGGTCTTAACCATCCAGCAGAAAAGAATAAAAACAAAGTATAAGAAGTAAAGCCATGGGGTTATGTTGAGCTGTAGGGGACTCAGGTCAACAACTTCTGATATTGCCAGTGAAGCGGAAGACCCAATACTATTATGGAGTACTGGACTCTTTTAGAATATTTTGCTGAGTTAACACACCTATAATATTCAAATAACAGAACAAATCAAAAAAAGGGGATACAGATGAATGACCATTTTGTATCTGTGTATTCAAATTGGTTAGATATATAGTTACATTCTCTTAATGAATAGAGGGATTTGTTCTAATAGCGTTTGCAAATAGGATATCATGTCTGCATCTTGTACAGCAAATAACCACTAGGAAGACAGCATGCAATGTGTTAACTAGTGAAACTGTACTGCCAATTTAATTTGAAACTGTCTCATTGCTATTTCTCAATAAAATTATAGAAAAAAATTAAAAAGGAATTTCTTTCCTTGGAAAACACATTTTCACTGAAGAAGGACATAGCTGGGCATGGTAGCAAATGCCAGTAATCCCATCCCTTGGAAGGCTAAGTAAGGCCGGAGAGTCACCACAAGTTCAACTCTAGCCTAAACTACATAGTGAGAACCATGTCTCAAAAAAAAAAAAAGCAAAGAAGTTTTTTTTTGAAAAAAACTTTAAAAATACTGTGAAATTCATATTACTTTGTTTAGTGAAATTCTGTATTACCTGTAACTTTTCTGTTTTAATATTATTTTGTACTCTCTTTAAAAAGTGAAAAAAAAAACACAAGACGTTATAAAGAACAAATAAAATCAAAGAGGAATGGACATAAGCTCTTGCCCCTATTTAGTCACTGCTTATGTTATTTTTCAAATAAAGAAAAGGGTTAATGATGTTGACTGGGGCTTTTAGCCAAACCCATTTTATTTTTGCTATTGTGGAGAATGTATTTTAGTTGGATTTTAGAAGAGATGAACACATTATATTCTGGTTCTCTTAGAGCAAGCAGTTCGTATTCTAAGTTATTGTAATAACTGATTTCTTATGTTCCCACAGTGGATTCTGGTTCATAAAGAAAATCATGAGGGGTCGGGGAGATGGCTCACTACAATAAGTGCTTCCCTGGCAAGCGCAAGGGCCTGAGTTCAATCCCCAGTTCTGCCAAAAAAAAAATCAGAAGATTATTTGCACTCACAACTTCCCATGGATTTAGGTGGCATCTATTTAGTGATAACATTTCTCTTTTGCTGGCAAATACACATAGATATATGCAAGATCAACACTATATATATATATATATATATATATATATATATATATTACCATGTGTGTCTATATATGTATAATATCCTCAAAATTTGACAGCTGTGTAATGCTTTGAAACTAATTTGACTAGTTTTTTTTGGTGGGTGGGTTTTGAGTCTAAAGCCAAAATATCATTTGTAATAAGTTTTCTCTAACCTATAACAAATCCACAATCACTTCTACAAAATTTAAAACACATACTAAATGGATATTAAAATTGTTCATACTGCATTCATATATGGTTAAGAACAAAAAATATCATTGTTTCAATACTGCCACACTGCTTTGGAAATTAAGCAAGTACAATATTATTGTGATAAATCAAGCAATCTGAAACTAGGATACCAGGTAGCACTTCCAATAACTTTTTAAGTTTATTAAAATAGTGTTTTGTGTGTGCTATTATCATCTACTTTATATTATAGTTATATAGTTTATGCTGCTTAAAGGAGTACAATTGGTTATTACCTCATTATTATTCTCAGGCTTAGATTATCATACAGTTTATAGAGATCCCAAAATATTATCATTACAATAGTTTTATAAATATATTCAACTTTTATACTTTTTTAAAGCCACTATAGTCTAAAGGAAAGAAAAACAATTATAAACAGTCAAAAACTTTCAAAATATCAAGTTACTTCTATCATCAATACTCATAAACTGGACGTGGTGGTATATGCCTATAGTCCTAGCACTTGTGAGTTCGAGATGAGCCTGGGCTACAAAGTGAGCACAAGGCCAGCTTGAACTGCATAGGGAGACCCCATCACAAAAAAAAGACTAAAAAAAATACTGATGGTGGAACCTAAATGTAATTTTTTTTTAACCAACATTTCCTGGACATTTTAATGTCACTGCCAGTAAGGTGCATAAACAAAGGGAAAGTGACCCAAAGGTTTTGTGGAAATTTTATAACTAAATGTTTATCTTCAACTACTAGCAAAGAGAAATATGTGTTTATGTATGTATAAGTTATGGGGTGGAGGCAGGACTGTGATGTTAACAAAACTCATCTACTCAATGAGATCCTGTAATCCAACTTCCCATCCACCATTACTTCAGGACAACTAGAAAAGAAGTCAGGGTCTTTATCTGTTACATGTCACACAGCAACTAAAAGTGTGCTAAAAATATTTATGATTGGGAAGTTTAAATGTAAAGGGTCTCAAAATTGAAGTCTTGGGCTGGGGAGACAGCTTGGTGGTCTAAGCACCTGCCTGGCAAACACAAGAACCTGGGTTTGATCCCTGGTACCACATGCTGTGCTAGCCCTAGAACCCCAGGTGTGCCATGCCAGCCACCAAAACTAGGTATGCTGGTGCATGCCTGTAATCCCAGTGCTGGGGAGGCTGAGACAGGAGGGTCACTGCAAGTCCAAGCTGCATAGTGAGATCCTGTACCAAATAAATAAATAAATAAAATAGAATAATTTTTTTAAAAAATGCAGTCTTAAGGACCAGGGATATATAGCTCAGAGGCACAAGTCCCTGCCTGGCAAGCACAAGGTTCTGAGTTTGATTCCCTGTATAAAAAAAATGCAGTCTTAGCAAGAAAGACATGGTTACCATCTTGAAAAAGGAAAGGTAGCTGAGTCTCAGAAAAAAAAGGATAGTATGCTTATTTTGCTTATTTTAGGAGAAAATGGCAGTTTCAAGCAGGAACACACAGGACTGAAAATACAGATCACAGTGAACTATGGCAGTGTATTGTTCTGCAAGCTTCTTCTAAAAGTCACATATATTAAAAGTGGTTGTATATTCTTTTCTAAAAAGAGCAGAATATATTTATTTGGGGAAAGAAAGTTCCTGTCCAAGAGAGGGACAGAAGCGGGACCTGAGTGGGTTGCCTGTGAAGCTGCCTTTTCTAGAGATTTTTATAGAGCTAAACCATGTAGTGAGGCAGGTATAGGTGGAGAACATGGGAAACTGCTTAGGTGGGCATGAGGTGGGATGAAACTATGGTCAACCAATAAGATTGCCAACACAACTGCTTAGATAAAATTGGTTAAATCCAGGACCAAATGGAGAAGCAAGTCACACAGCAAGTGGACATGAGGTTTAGTGGCTCTTCCTGGCATCCTCAAGGTGAGAGACTCATTTACAATATCAATTGTATATGCCTATGTTTAGGGAAGTATATGGCTGCACATGGTTCTACTTTCTAAGGTTGGAAGGCAGGTAATATTTCATTTGCAAATTTATCCACTAAAGTAAATGTGTCAATATATTACTAGCCATTGATCAATTCATTATGGTCCAACTCTTGCATTTAGAAAAGAATGTTAATGCAATTTAAGGCTATTTAAATATAGATAGCTTATTTAAACTGAATACTTTGCTAAGTGATTTGAAATATAAAACAGTTCTCTACTTTCTAGCAAAAGGATTTCTGAATTTAGTATAATAATTCCACTTTAGTATGTTTGGTATATACATTCCTCTTTTTTTTGTATTTTACGGAAGGGTCTAAGGGTGTTCAGGGTCTCGCTACTAGATTGGATTTGTAGTGATCCGCCTGTTTACAGCCTCCCAAGTGCTGGGATTAAAGGCACGCGCCACCATGCCCAGTCTCAATTGCAGTCTCAGCATGCCCCAGGGGCAGGTCTGGCATGGCAGGTCCGGGGATCAAACCCCCAGACCCTGCGCCTGCTTGCAGGTGATTTAATCTGCTGAGCTATTTGGCTGACCATATATATATATATATATATATATATATTCCTCTTGCACTCCAAAAGAATTCCTATTATGTGCAATCCCTTAGTGCTTAAAATCAGCCTATGAAGTAGCAGACTATATTTTAAAATTAATATAGCTTTCAATTAGTTCAAGTCATGAAGATAGCCTCCCAAAAAGATAAGATACAGAAAAGAGAGAAAAAAGAATTCTCCAGTAGATTTTTTTAATTAAGAAGAAACTGGATAATTTTACTTTTAGAAAATCCAGTATCAGGAATAAATTAATGGAGAAAGGTATGGCAGGATAGGGTGAAAATATCTATTAACCTGCCAATTTGCATTTTATGCTTAGTTTTAAAATGTTATCAAAATTTTAGATACTTTGGACATGTGATAATGCATTTTTTCAGTAGTCTAGCTGAATATAAATGGTCAGATACTTAAACTATTAATATACTAAGAAGAAATGGCAATAATAAACAATAAAAAGATTTTACCACTCTCAGGAGACTGAGTTGTAACCCAACCCACTGATTTCATCACAGCTTTCTTCCATGTAGAATAACGAATTTCACTTTCTGGAATTAGAAGGTAGGAAAAATATACATATGAAAGGTAGTTTGCAAAGAAGTTATAAGTATTACTATGTTACTTGGCATTATTCATAAAGTGTTACACACCACTGAACTAAAGAGAGGCTTTATTTTACCTATTACCTAGACTCATATCTAGGAGCACATGGTTACTGGTGACAGGTAGTGACTGGCTGAGCCACTTGGTTGCAAACTAGAGAATGAGGACAGGAAATTCAGCATGGGACTGTAGAAAGAGACTGGGACACAGACTACCTGCTAGGAAGATAGCGCTCCCTAACCAAGGATTGTTTCACAAAGGGGACTCCAATTTGGCCTGTCTTGTCTTTTTAAGAGTGTGCAGGGGGTTCTGACATGAGGAGAGGCTATGTTATCCTGTGGGAAAAATTAGGAGAATTATTGTTGGTCCAATCAAAGGACGCAGCAAATGTTAATTTTTCAAAAGATTCAAAGTGCATTTCTGTGAGATTCCCTGACATCTTAAAGTAAGGTTTCTTCCAGATGAAAATCCACAACAAAAGGACTACACAAAAGTGTGCTCTGGGGCTGTACTCAGAAGGGTCCTGAACCATGTCTGCCTGGGGTTCGACTTCTCTAAATCCTTTTAGTCCTCCAAGCCTCAAGATCACTTGCATCTGAAGTTTTCCTGACCCACTTCTAGCCCATAGTCCCCTTTCCCACAGTACTTTACATACACCTCAGGGTGTCAGCTGCCACAGTGAATTTTTACAATTTGGTCTCCCTCATCTCATATATACCAGTCTCTGGAAAGGGAAGGACTTAAGTCTCAATTATCTCTGATGCCCAATAGCAATTCTTCCAGTTGGCTCTCAACAGTAGTTAGCCAAAGAATGAACTATCTATACCTACCTTCCATTAGTGAGGAGGAGTGGGATGGGGGTGCAGACAGGAAGAGCACTAGCACAATAGGTCAACTCCAGGCTAAAGCCTCATACACAAGCAAAGACGATCCTCCTCCTAAACAGTCATCATAACCCTCAAACTTCTTACTTTTGGAACAGTATAAGCATTTAGAGGTCATATACATGATCTAAACATCATTTGCTTATGTATTAAAAAGCTGCTTGGGCCAGCGAGATAGCTCAGCAGACTAAAGCACTTGCTTAGGCAGAGCACAGCAGCAGGGGTTCGATCCCTGGCATGCCGTGCTGGCCCTGCCCCTGGGACACACTGAGACAGAGATTGATATGGGGCATGGTGGCACGTGCCTCTAATTCCAATGCTTGGGAAGCTGAAAACAGGAGGATCACTATGAATCCAATTTATGTAGTGAGACCCTGTAGATTCTGTACTAAACACATTTTTTAAAAAGTTGCTTTGTTAAAAAAAAAAAAAAGTTGCTTTGCTTTTCAGAATTTTTTTCACTCCCAGATAGAAAAACAAATTAAAAATTCTGACAGAATGTCAGATTCCAAAACAAATGTCTTCATCGTGGCATATGCTATCCTGTCTAACTACAGAATCATTGGTATTACAGTGCATTTTCTTGTGTATGGAAAAGAATGAATAAAATTAAGAAACACTGACGGTCTTCTAGAAAACTGAACAAAAATAATTTGGAAACTTATTTTCCAATAGCTCAAAATCCACTTTGATGCTCTTTTATGCATATGTTTCTAAAACGTTATAAAACCAAATTCAATATATAAAGCCTTGCATCCCTATTCATATTTATTTCAATTTAAGAGCTGCATCACTATTTTAATGAAGATGCTAATCAGAGCTTCGTGCTTCACTTAGTTTCTCAGATCAGTGAGTGAATCAGATATTTAATGCTCACTTACTTGAAATTTTGCCACCCTTGTTGGGTTAGTCCTACTGTATTTAAAAGTTAGCAGTGTTGGGCTGGGCACAGTGGCACCCACCTGTAATCCCAGCACTTGGGAGGCTGAGGCAGAAGGAACAGACCAGCCTACGGTACAAAAGTGAGCTCAAGTCCAGCCTAAACAGCAAAACTCTGTCTCAAAAAGACTAAATAAATAAAGTTACCAGTGTTTGTTGTTTATCAAATGGAATTTGAATGTCTACATTTGATTATGATTTTTTTTTCATTTGTATATTTGTTATAGGGTCTCACTACACATCTCCGACTCATGGTGATCCTCCTGTTTTCGGCCTCCCCAGTGCTGGGATTACAGGCATGTGCCACAAGTCCCAGACTTGGTCGCTGTGTGCCCCAGGGGCAGAGCTGGCGTGGCATATGGGACTGGGGATCAAACCCTGGTCCCTGAGCTTGCCAAAGCAGGCGCTTTGTCCACTGAGCTACCTCAGCAGCCTGGTTATGATAATTTTTAAAAGACATAAAATGT